AGCATGTCTCCTTTATGCAGAGTAGCATCAGATCAATAATTAGTTGCCATGCATTTTAATAACAAGAGTTTTTGCTTTAGATTGTTTTTCATAATTTTGCATTTATGTTTGACGAGTTCAGGAACTTGTCTTATTTGAAAGAGAAAATATTAATGCAGAAATTACTTCTCATTGTATTATTGCTTGCCAAATCTAATATGTAAATACCCAGTAGAACTCATGCTTATGTTAATGGAGAGAGGATCATAGAAATCTTGTAGACAGAGTCTATTTGTCCCACTTTGTTCCACACATTAGTATTCTCTATGGTACTTAATTATTCAGTGTTTTAATTTTAAATTAAAAATAAATACTGTACATGAATGATAATTTGAGTGACATGATAGGAAAACATTGTCACAATGAAATGCAAGATAAGTTCTCTTATGCTGTTCTTCTGGTCAAAAAGAGTATCATGAAGAAATACTCCTTATATTTCCTAAATTTAACTCCCTCCCATCATTACAGATCTAAAAAATACATGTTAGTGATTAGTTGTAAAGCAGGAAAGAAAGCCGGCTGAAATTGTTGTATAGTCAAAAGCATACTGAACTTATTATTTAACACTGGATTTATTACTTCTGTGCACATTTTGTGGAATGTTAAGATTGTCACCTTTAGTTACAAAATTTATATATATATTTTTTTGTACTGGTGGCTTCTCTCAAAACAGTTTAAGAAACACAAGCTTATAGCTGATAATGTTGCCAAGAAGACTGCTCTGACTGTAATTGTTGGGCATTGTGGTGGACTGTTTTACCTCTCTGAAATAAGAAAAACCTGAACGGCTCCTTTAGTTTGTTACCAGGGTGGAAAAGCAGCTTGAGCACAGGATTGAGGAGTCAGAAGCACCTGGTTTCCAATGCACTTCTGTCTCTTTGGCCTGATCCACAGTGGAAACTGGTGCTGATCACTGCCATGAGGTACTTACACCAACACAACCCGTCTAATTATCCTACTACTGCAATTACAACATGATCTCAATCACTCATTTTCCTTACTTAGACAATGAGAGAAGTAGTGCCTTTTTCACCCTCTATTATGAGGCTGTTTTGAGCACAGGTATTTGTGTAGTTATAGCCTGCTATGTCATACTGACAAGAATATCCATTTGGGTCACCCTTTGCTTAGAAACTGCATTTTAAAGAGTGACAATAAATTATTGAATATAGAAGTATGGTATAGGCAGGAAGGTAGGTGATTGTAAACCTGGAGCTGTACTGAGATATTTTTAATAACTTGAAAGCAGTTTAGGAGAATCTTGGCGTAGAATAAACACAGAACTAGAGGAGTCCTTAGGGGTCACTGTCAGGATTTCAAAAAACTCAGCTGTTAATTTAGTAACTAAAACCAGGTGCTGATTCCTTTTCAGAGTTACTACACGTTTATCGTACAAAGCCACACGGGCACCGAGGGCGTAGTAGTTACCCAAGATACACACACACCACACAGAGCAAGTCATCATCCGTACACTGCGTTAAACAACCTCTTCCTCCATCCTCCCTCGGGCTGCAAACCTCTTCTCATTTGTAAGGACTAGAGGCAGGCTGTATCTCACAACTCCTTTTATCTCGCCTGTCTCCCTCTCTGACACCCGACGTCCACAGCAGGCTCAACGTGCAGCTAGCTGTTTGTTTACCAGGGACCTCCCTGTTTCTTAGCACCCTTCTGCGGTAGTGGCAGGAGAAGGCTTTCTGCATTCCTTCTCTGTTATGTCCAAAAATATTTTTCTTCACTCTCTTTAAATTAGGAGCCATCTCTGCTCCCTCCACGAGGGCATTTTGCTGCCCTGTGGTTGCTCTCTCTTGCTGTCCCAGGCTAGCTCGGGCCTGCTGCGGACTAGCCTGGTTTGAACTGTGGTTCAGCCTCTTGCAGCTCCTTCCTCTTAACACATTCCACTTTAACTACATTTTAAAACTCACCAGCTTGTTGGCTCCTTTTCTGCTCATAGCATGTACTTGGGGAGTTTGGAAGAGGCCCTTAGCTATAGCAATACATAAACCACGTAAAATTACACATTGTTATTGGTAATATAGTTCAAGTAAAAGTCCGATTGTTGCGTTGTTAATTCACAATGGAAACACGTAGGAAGTCCAGTCCCCTGGTGTTGCTGGTTCTCATATAATCCTGTACATTTATATTAAGCTCCATCTTATAAGCAATTAGATTTTATTTCTCCACTAGTCTTATCGGAAGGCTGTTCTAGAACATCTCTGCTCTGATGATTAGAAACCTGTTTTCTAGCCTAAATTTATCATCTCACTTACACTTTTTGCTTTAGTGCCAACATTGACCTGTAGCATAGGATTTTTTTCTCTCTGTGATGTTTCCCAGGTTCAACTGTTCATAGACAGCAGTGATTTCCCCTCTCCGTCTTCCTCCCACCTACTTATCTGAGTCGTCCTTCTTTGCACCTGTTTGAGTTTTCCTTTCTTGGATCTGAGGAGCAGAACTATTCAGACTATTTCGCAGGAGGGGATATGATTTCCTTAGGCAGTGGTGTTAGTTCTTTGCATCCCTATTTGGAAATACCTTCCTGGATACATCCTAAAGTTGCATTTGTCTTTTTGACCAGTGCATTTCACTAACCCCTCACAGTATACTCAGCCGTGGGGGAGCACGGACTGGTAAATTCAGCAGCTGCTCTGAGTGAGCTGACCAGATGCTGGCTCCGTGCAAAGGCTTAGGGAAGTGAATATTTTTTGTAATAAATCAACACTTTACTCTTCATTTTGAAAAAGTATATTATCCATTTATTATATGCAGCATTGCAGTTTTCTGAATAAAGTTCAACTTTCTGTGCCAGTGAACAGGAGGAGTAGGATTAGCTGAAACGTTGAAACAGGAGATACTGTGTTATTTTATGTCCTCTTGTTAATGGAAACAAGATATTTCTTAGTACAGGATAGCCACATTTCTTCACCTAGCGAACACTTCAGTAAAGAAGGGGATAAAAATAAGTCAGCTATCTTACTAACATATTCCTGTTAACTGGGGTGGCAAATCAATACCACAGGACCAGCGATTAATAATCTTTTCCAGACATTAAGACAAGAATAGCCTTTTCAGTGGTATCAAAGCAGGGATATAACTGTGTACTACTTGTAA